TTGGCACAGTTGTTGTTGTTAGCCCCCATTGAGCTGACTCTGACTCAGAATGAGCCCATGAACAGCAAAGGAAACACTGCCTGGTCCTACCCATCCTCACAGTGGTGGTTCTAGCCCATCGTTGTAACTACTGTGTCAGTCCATCGCATTGAGGAGGCAGAAACCAATGTGAGCGTGCAGATAGGTTGATTTACGGGAAATGGAAACCAAAGTTTACGTGAGAAGGCTCATTCCTTTGCCGGCGCTTCCTGTCTGAAAGGAAATGGAATGTGGGGACGAGCTGGAGCGATGATGTCGTGCCAACTCCCCACAGCACGCGGGCCTGGTTTCATTGGGCTTTGCCCAGGCTGGAGGCAACCCTGCACCAAGCAAGTCTTTTGGTGCCATTTTTTCCCCAACATCATGTGCTGACCTTGTGGCCATTCTTAGAATATTTCACACTTTTTCCTTAAGCACTTGCACACTTGAAAGACTACAATATATAGGGTAGTACATCAGGAAGACACAAAGTTGGTGTCTTTAGTGTAATACCAGCTTTACTCTGGTGATCAGGAACCGAACCTGTACTGTCTCCAAAGGTGGCCTGTGTTTCCAGACAGAAGGTGGTCTGCCTCATCACTTTAGGGGGAGGGGAGGACGAATTCCTCAACAGGGTCAGATTCTTCATTGTAAGCGGGGGTTGGGGTGCCTTTTCTCTTCCACATATCACATTAATTCTTTTTCCTTTTAAAATTTTGTCTTTAGGCCTTATAATCAATGGATAAAGTGGGGAAAATGTGGAATAACTTCAAATACAGATGTCAGAATCTCTTTGGTCCTGAGGGAGGAAGCCGCAGCGAAAATGTGGACATGAGCGCCAACAGATGCCTGTGTGTCACAGAGCCGACCAGCAGCATAGGAGACTCCGCACCTCAGCAGCAAAGCAGCCCCTTGAGAGAAAACGGTGCCTTACAGCGGGGGTTCAGCCCGGCAAAGAGTTCAAGGAGAAGCCAAAATTGTGCCGCAGAAATCCCTCAGATTGTCGAAATAAGCATCGAAAAGGACAACGATTCGTGTGTGACCGCCCCAGGCACCAGACTTGCAAGAAGGGACTCCTACTCTCGACACGCTCCTTGGGGTGGGAAGAAAAAGCATTCCTGTTCTACCAAGACTCAGAGTTCATTAGAGACTGACAAAAAGTGTGGTAGAACTCGAAGTGGACTTCCACGGCGCGAGAGGCGCCACGGCGTCAGCTCTGTGCACGACATGGACAGTGTTTCCAGCAGGAGCGCGGGAGGCCGCTCGCTGAGACAGAGGCTGCAGGACACTGTTGGGCTGTGCTTTCCCATCAGAACGTACAGCAAGCAGTCCAAACCCCTGTTTTCAAACAAAAGAAAAATTCATCTTTCAGAATTAATGCTGGAGAAATGCCCTTTCCCGGCTGGCTCAGATTTAGCTCAAAAATGGCATTTGATTAAACAGCATACGGCGCCGGTCAGCCCACATTCAACGTTTTTCGATACATTTGACCCATCTTTGGTTTCTACAGAGGACGAAGAAGACAGGCTTAGAGAGAGAAGACGGCTCAGTATTGAAGAGGGGGTCGACCCCCCTCCCAATGCACAAATACATACATTTGAAGCTACTGCACAGGTTAATCCGTTATATAAACTGGGACCAAAATTAGCTCCTGGAATGACCGAAGCCAGTGGGGACAGTTCTGCCGTTCCACAAGCTAACTGTGACTCTGAGGAGGACAGCACCACGCTGTGTTTGCAGTCCCGGAGACAGAAGCAACGGCAGGTGTCTGGAGACAGCCATGCCCACGTTAGCAGACAGGGAGCTTGGAAAGTGCACACGCAGATTGATTACATCCACTGCCTCGTGCCAGACTTACTGCAGATTACAGGGAATCCCTGTTACTGGGGGGTGATGGACCGGTATGAAGCAGAAGCCCTTCTGGAAGGGAAACCGGAAGGCACGTTTTTGCTCAGGGACTCTGCGCAGGAGGACTACCTCTTCTCTGTGAGCTTCCGCCGCTACAACAGATCCCTGCACGCCCGCATTGAACAGTGGAACCACAACTTCAGCTTCGATGCCCACGACCCGTGTGTGTTCCATTCCTCCACCGTCACGGGACTTTTGGAACATTATAAAGATCCCAGTTCTTGCATGTTTTTTGAACCCTTGCTGACTATCTCCCTAAACAGGACTTTTCCCTTTAGCCTGCAATATATCTGCCGTGCCGTCATCTGCAGATGCACGACATATGATGGCATCGATGGGCTCCCTTTGCCGTCCATGTTACAGGATTTTTTAAAAGAGTATCACTATAAGCAGAAAGTTAGGGTTCGCTGGTTAGAGCGAGAACCAGTCAAGGCGAAGTAAGCGTGCCTGCCCTAGTTGGGCGTCCGTGTACGTCACGCAGGACAGCTCGAGCGAGCACAGCATCTTTAGGTGTGCGGAGGACTGCTCAGTACGGAGTGTAAGCTCAGTGCTGGCCTATCCGTCAGGTGCAACCTGCTGGTGACTCAGATGCACGTGGTGCCTATGGAAACAACAGAGAGGGAGGGACAGGTGTGCGGCCAGGCCTACAGAAACGTTTTACCTATTTAGCTAGAGGTTTAGTTTTTAATGGCTACATCATAATTGAGTGAAACAACTCTGGGGCATTTGCTATGAAGAATTCTATTTCTTACTGAAGATCAAATTATTAATAATGGATGGTATTTCAACAGTGTGACTAATGTTTGAAACTATTATTTTTTCTAATAATTTTTCTATAAACTTCCAAAAGTAGTGATGTTTGTAGTTACTGTCAATCAAGCTTTGGAAGTCCAAAAAATAAAGACTGCCTTCCTTTTGGGGCGGGGGAGGGGAGCAATTTCCTGGCCACAAGGGCATAGTGCAGTTCACTTAGATGTTGATATAGCTTATAGTCTCCTTTTCTTTTCTGCAAAGGGTACTGTTAAATAAACCAGGTTTTCTAACTAGTAGTTCTTAAAATTTCAGACTTATCAGAGGTAGTATTAGAATTTTATTTAAAGGCCCTAAGTATTAATGTTTCACATGAATGCTTGAACTTATAGCAGGCATCCTTTGGAATAGCTGCTGTGTGTAGCTCCCGTGTGTGCGTCTGTAAGTTGACAGGGTCTTTCCCTGTGCCCGCCCGGCGTCCGGGAACCACAGTGAGACAAGAAGGGGCCCAGACGAGTCAGCTGATCACTGCAGTGGTTGATGATGTTGAGATTATTGTTGGATTCTCATTCATTATTCCGATGGCAGTATTTATCCCTCTGTTGTAAACTCTCCTAGTTGAAGTGCTTAAATATAATTTCTAGAATTTCCGTGCAGTTCATTTTTAATGGAAAATCTGGAAACTAAGTTACAAATTTTAAAAGGTACTGTCCAACTGTTGTATCTGTAAATAACTCTACTTAGCACCTTTTTGTCACGCAGAAGCGTATGCAACACGGCTTGAGTGAGCGCTTTTGGAAGTAATATCAAACTAGTGTTTGCTTCTTCATATTGAACTGACTTTGCAGTTCTGGCCGAGCAATTTTGCACTCCAGTAGTGGCCCTCCACCCATCCCCGTGTCTCTCTGTCCGTGTGCGCTGCACCACCGGTGAGTGCGCCCTTGCTGCCTTACCTGCTGCTGCAGAGCTTTCTTTCCCCCTTCCCGTGGCTCTCAGCCGAGGTGACTCGAAAGACAAGTCTATTGGTATGCAACACTACCCTTGACTGCTACTGTAAGTTTCTGCTTGCTGTGCCTTGTTATGGCTGCTTTTCTGTGCTAATAAAGTATGTTTGGTGTTCTTGTACATCTGCTGTTTTATACATTGGCAAAAATTTCTCTTGTAAACGGAATGATTTGGGGTTTTTGAATAAGTATCACCTGATACCCTCCTAGAGTTAAACTACAGCCCAATACTGACTGTGTCAGAGTATGCTAACTCCTCACTGAATGTCTCTACAGCTTTCCAGTCGTATCCACATGTCCTGTAGAACAGTATCTAGAGTTACTGCAAAGTACAACTGACAGTGTAGATGTTGACAGAGGAAATAAACCATGATATTGACATAAAGCTAATGATCTCTCTGCTTACAAGTGACAGATTGAAACTAGCAATGGCATGTTATAGGAAGCAAGTATGATAGCCTCCCACCATGCCCGGAAACAGGTTAGTGACGTTGCGAACTGAATAATAAATACATCAGCACCACTGGTGGTTTGGGGACCATTTTAATTGATCATATATGCTCACAACGTAGAACTTTAACCAAAGACTTGTCCGTTTCAAAGCAGAATGGGGATTGAAGGGACTTGTGATTCCTCTGAATCTAACAGGAGTCCTGCGGACTGTATACCAAAGTGTATTTGAGAACTTCATCCAAATCTACTTTAGCATTACGTGCAATTAAATTGTTCTGGCAGAATTATGTTGCGTAACTGTTTGCTTCATTTTCTTGAGCTTAGAATGTACCTGGAATGTAAACCTCTTGAAAGAAATATAAGCACCCATAGTGGTTACTGGAGAAGGACTCTGTACAAGCAGGATTGTTGTTAAAGAGGTAACTTGAAACTCCAAGAAGGCACTTGATGTTTTATATGCTTGTAACAAGTTGATGTTCTAATTGTAGTTTTATAGAAAGTATTAATGCTTTTATGTATTTCAGAACTTTCATATGCTAAGTGGAAATTGTTTTAAATGTGTAAATATTTTGAGTTTATGTAAGCATGTATACTGCGAAGTCACTTACGTTTTAATGTGTGTAATATTAATATGCAATTTTTGGTTTTAAATTTTCTTAAAATATTAGTGGCTTAAATTTTAAAAAAGAAAAATCACCAGCATGAAATTGCACCCAAGTCTATATCCACTGTGTCTTTTTCTGAGTCCTCATTGTAGCCTGTCAACTAAACTTGTGTTTTTTATGGTCTTTTTAAAGTGTATTTTCATATGAATTAGGAAATTCTTTGGAGATTTGATACATTTTCATTGTGGGGTATTTGAGCCAAGGAAGGCTCCTTTAATTCATATGCATTCTCGTTTCATTAATGATTTGCCCCTGCTTGACCCCACCCCCTGTGATAAAGTGATACCACCCCATAACATGATATTATTAATATCACTTTAGAGAGAATAATATTCCCTTCTGATTTAAAAACCATTTAGAGGCCTTATTCTGCGACATACCTGAGGAATATTCTTGTACCATTGAACTTTGATTATCTGCACTGAATTATAGTCCTACTGTTACAGTCTTGCTTGTAATACAGTCACTTTACAAAGAGAAAGCACTTGTCAGTTAGTTTTTGTTGTTTCCTCACTAAAAACAGTTTAAAAAAATGTTTAACCCTTTTGAAGAAAACATAACAGCTACCTTTCTTAGCCAAAATTGAACCTAAATTCTGATGCTTCACAAATTGATCTGCCTCTGTGAAAGTTTACAACGGCTTGAGCCCAGACAAAAGCTGATATTTGAACTGTAAGTTTCGTTTTGATCAAACTCAGACTTGAGGAATGGCGCTCTATTTGGCTTTTTTGTCTGGTTACTCTTCATTTTCTCCCCAAAGCTTCCTTTGCTCCCCGGGCACTAAACAAATATTAATACATTTTATTGAACCAGGTCTTAGGGTAGCGAGTTTTCATAGGGGAAAAAGCTATGAAAAGTATGAGAGGGACAGTACTGTTTGGCGGATAAAAGTACATGCTCATGAGACAAAGCTGGTATGTTTTTATCATAGCTGATACGGAACAGAACCTTTCTGGTCACAGGTTCCGTTAGTTTTGTGTTGGTTTTGCGCGGGCGGACCAGCTGGAAGAACCTTCTGTCTGGAAAGCAACAGAATATTCCAACTCCAGCTCTTCACCACGTACTGAGACGACCCGTGTGCCAGTCGCTGTTTTAGGTGGCGGTGGCGGTGGTACCACGAGTTAACAAAGCCACTGCCTTCTGAAGTGCATCACATTCTAGTGGATGAGACAACGAAATACAAATGAAATGTCAACAGAGGGTTTGACGATAGAAGAAGGGACATTGTTTTGCAGGGTCATTAAGGCGTGGCTTTTGATGAGCGAGTTCCTCCCGAGACTCAAGAAGAGAACATCCTATGTATTATTAATAAAAGTAAAAGCCCTAAGGCAGGAATGAGCTGGTATGCTGAGGGAAAATGCCAGTCAGACTGGAGTCCCGTGAGGGTAGGGGAAGGTCCATTGGAGGACCCTAAGCAAGAGCATGGCAAGGTCTGCTTCAGCTTCCTGCGCAGCCAAAAGCAAGCTCATAGCAGCAGCAAACCTCCTGATGTGGTCGACGTGAAAGAGGCTTGCAGTTGTCCCGGGGAGAGAGTGCAGGGACCCGACCAGGGTGGTCGTTTTAGGGAGAACGGAATTTGGTGGAAAAGCAGGCAGGATTTAGTGATGGGTTCCGTGAAAGAGAACTCAAAGATGAAACTAGTTTGGGGCCTGACCAAGGAGGGGAGCTGAGGTTGGGGGTGAAACAAAGTTGCAAATGTGCGTAGAGTGAATGTTGAGTTCAGGGTTCCTTGTGGGTGCTCTTCAGTCGATTGCCATTCGTAGTGACTCCTTGTGACAAAACTCTGCCCTGTGGGGTCATCTTGGGTATAACTTTGATGCAGTCGGATGACCTGTTGGGTGGGCTCAAACTGCCAGTTGTTGGGTTAGCAGCTGAGTGAGGAACTAGAGAAAGGAAGCCTGGCCAGGTCTGTCTGCTTTACATTTCTGAGCAGGTAGGGAGTAGACGCTAAAAAGCCCACCGAGAAACTTCGTTATGTGAACGACATTTAAAACAAAGACAAGCTCCACCAACTCTGGGTTTTACACAGGCTGACGGACTTGGGTGAATTAAGATGACCCTTAGTTAATCATCAGTTCCAGGTTCTCTGTCATTAGATTTCTTCAGTAGAACGAACTTGTCTTTTAAAATGTTTTAAATTACTGCAATCATCAACTTTGCACAGAATTTGACATTATTCTTGAGTTTGAACGTTAAACTTTCTCCTGCATCTTTTTAGTATAAATTTTTTATAAAAGTAATACGGGTTTATTCTAGAACGTTTACAAAGTACTCAAGAGTCTGTACCAATGACTTTACATTCACCAGCCCCTCAACTCCCGTACTGTAATCTTCCAGAGGTAATGGCAACATTTGCTATACACCCTTCTATTCTGTGCAGTTAAAACATGTAAGTCAAACCTTATGAAATAATAGAGTTGTAGGCCTCAGGTCCCTTCTAGAAGGTTTAGAGTAACAGATTGAAAAGGCTCGGTCACTGAGGGTTTCTTGAAGCAAAAATGTGCACCCGCAGATGTGAAAAAACAGGCAAGTATGTAAGGGTATGATGCTGAGAAAGATGATGTGACGGGAGAGCAAGTAAGAATGAAAGGTGGCTGCAAGAAGGATAAGGGGCAGTGGGGAGGGGAGGTGTCTTGGATTTGTCTCACTACAGAAAGGCTGAAGACTGATTTTGGTGGTCGCTGGTGGGATGGGCAAGTAGCACCTGCAGAGGCACAGGGTAAGGGAGGGACCCCTTGATCCGAACACTTGTGTGTGCTACACAGTGGAGAGTTTATCAGCATTCTCAAGGAAGAATTAAAGTACCCAGCAGCAGTCGGACGGAGTTTAACCACGAGAGACTGGAATGGGCCTCAGTCGGGGATGAGTTCCTAGACCTGCTAGAGGAGCGCATGCGAGGGAGACTACAAAAGAGCAGTGTGGGGGGCGGAGATTTACTTAAAACGTGGGAATCTTCTAGGGTCATACGTGGTCTCTGCTGTAAGCAAAGCCCGTGTCTCCTGTGTTAAAACTAAACGTGGCAGTACATTTTTTTTAAAGGCTTATTGCCCCCCAAATCAACCCCCAAAATTTGAATAAGAACTAAAATTACTCTTCACCATTCCGGGCCATATTTGGCATAGAGATGATACAAAAGTCAAGTCTAATCAACATCAAAAACCAACTTTACTTGGAAAATGAAAATGCTACGAGAAAGGTGGCAAAGTAAGATCTAAGGGAGCCATTGAAAGGTCACCTCAAAAGCGCTATTAGGGTGGGTGCTTTCTCCAGCTCCGGGTTACAGTGTGCAATCACCGAGTTTCCTGAGTTGCAGGATTGCTGCCGCCTCCTAGGGATTTTCTGAACACACTAACTAGAATCCCATGGCTTGTAATTTTTCAAACTTAAAATTCTCTCTTGAAACCCATAGAATGATGCACATAACCCAATTTAATTCAATTTTCAGAAGAATGAGTCCTTTTATATTTGTAGTGTTTCTCATCCTTTCTGAAGAAAAAAACATTTTAATTGATGCAGAATATGGCTTTGTCGCCTAGTGTTAAAAGTATTTTGTAGGTGCATCGAGATGTAACTGAGATGGGTGGCTAGTAATGGCACTGACAATAGTTCCAGCACTGTACACGATACACATTTGTAAATTTAGCTTTAAAGTATTCTCAACCTTTTCAGTCATTTTTCTTCTCAGGGTGACCCCAGAACTAGAAGATTGAAGATGTCTGTGCTATGCTCAGTTTCTCATCCTTCAACGAGTGATTAGAGACCCCACATGCTTTTGTGTCACAATGAACAAAGTCCACATGAGGCCAGGTGAGGGGCCTAAAGTGCTCCGGGGGGGACAGGGACAGAATGGTGTCCTGGCTCGGCAGGCAGATCGTGCACATCCTGACGCAGCAGGCACATCCTGTCGGCAAACCTGTGATTCTCTGCTTGCCTGCTACCTGCCTTAAGAGGTCACAGAGACAGTGTCTAAATTACAGATTTCAAATATGGGCTGGAGCCCAGAGTTGAAAAACTTCTTGGCCACTATACTCTTTCTTTGATTTTCAAGTATCGGCCCAGTTCCTGTTTTGTTTTTTGACCCCCCAACCCTCTTGCCACCTAAAGAGGCAATAGATTCTAAGTCCTCGATAGAAATAGATCCTTAAACATTAAAATATGTAAGCCGATCACTCACTGCCATCAAGTTGATTCTGAGTCATGTAACTCTCCTTAATTTATGTGACCCAATTTGTTGTTTGGCAAGTACCCCTGCACCGCCTTCCAGCTTTAGCACACCCTGTCCCAGCTCACTGCGCTCCTCGCACGTGGGCTCTAAGCTCCTCCGTCCCTCCCTTCCATCCCACTCAGGGCCCCTTGCACGTGCTATCCCTTCTCCCTCAAATTCGCCCTACTTGTGGCTCCGAGTGAGAAGGATGCTTTTCCTTGAGAGCTATGCTCTCCCTGGTGGTAGAGTGGTTACACATTGGGCTGCTAACTGCCAGCCCAGCAGTATGACACCAGCAGCCACTTGGAGGAGAAAGGAGGCTTTTTGCTCCCGTCATGTGAATTCACGGGCAGCTCTACCCTGCCCTATGGGGTCGCTATGAGTCAGAATCAACTTGATGGCAGTGAGTTTGGTTTGGGGTTCTTGCCACTTCCTCAGAGAGACCTGATCATGTAAGGATCGCTCCACCCCCATGTTGTCCTCTACCCTGCCTAAGATTTTGCCTTAGTCTATATTAGGAATACTCACAAAATGTTTTGAGGTCTTGACCTTTCCTTTTGAAAAATTCTGAGCATAGAGCCCACTTCTTTTATTCTCAGTGCCTGGCACAGTGCTTAGCACAGAGTAAGCACTTCATGTTTGTGTAAACAAATGAATTGCGAATGCTTTTGGTTTTTTCCATTTGACAACAATATCAGAACCACATTGCATGCCTTTCTGAAGTCGAGATTGCCCTGTCTATTTTCATAATCTCCCTCTTGCTGTCTTGTTCTATGAAGAGCGTCTGGCGGGTTTGTTCTCGGTGCCCATGCGAGCTCCTAGAGGTTCCTGTGCTCTCTCGTCTCACAAGCCCTGCCTTTAATAACCCGCCCTGATCTTCAGAGGCCCTATTTGAAGACTCTTAGTTCTTTGGAAAAAAGGAATCCGGGCCAGGATTGGGGCGCATATTTATAGCCGCTGTTTTTCTTCCCCTGGATCTCTTCTCCAGTTCTGACTTCATTCCTTCTCGCCAACATTTGTTGGGCCCTTTTCAGAGAAGATCGTTGTAAAACAGGAGATGGCTAGCTGAGCTTTCTTCCTTCAACATTCCACGGCTGTCCACCAAGTCTAAAATTGCTCCTCTGGAAGGACTTGCACTGGAAATGGACTGTTGTAGATGTTCAAAGTGCACCTGGGTATTTGGAAAACCCAAACCAAACTGAAATGCTGCCGAGGCTGACGCATGGCCACCCCATAGGACCGGGTCGAGCTGCTCCTGTGAAGGTCAGAGA